ATTGATTTCACACTAATACTGATGATTTAGGTGAATCAAGCCTTGGAAAAATTGCGCGGTGCTCTCTTCCAAAGGCCGCCGCTGATATCGGCGGTCAAAAGACAGCTCCGCGTCAGAACAGTTTACGACAGTTGGTTCCTCGATTATGACCAGGAACGTAATATGGGAGTGTTCCGTGTCAGTTGTGAAGCTGGGTCCTATATCAGAACTATGTGTGTCCATCTTGGGCTCTTCTTAGGTACCGGTTGTCACATGCAAGAACTTCGAAGAAACCGTTCCGGCGTTTTGTCTGAACAGGATGGTATGGTCACTATGCAGGATATTCTTGACGCCCAATGGCTGTACGACAATCATGGAGATGAGTCGTATCTGAGAAGAGTTATAAGACCATTGGAATCGCTGCTAATAAATCACAAGAGAATCATCATAAAGGACAGCGCCGTATGTATTCCACTTATTTTACCTTTTAGAAAATGAAATTGTATATTGTTATTTAACGGTATTATGTTGCACAAATTTATTAGGTAAATGCAATTTGTTACGGAGCTAAAATAATGTTACCAGGCGTTTTGATGTATGACCAAGGGATAGAATTGAATGAAGAAATTGTAATTGTAACTACCAAGGGCGAAGCTGTAGCAATTGGTAAATATATTTTCAAAGTAACGGTAATGTTTAACTCTCAACATTGTTTAACTTTTTATATTATACTATTCCAAAACTGTTCAACTTAATGTCTATTTTATCATTTTTATATTTATCTTCGAAATACTTACCCTTATATCTGTGGTCTTCAAATAATTCTTATTTTCGTCTTGTATACATTAGCTATAGCTTTGATGTCTTCTCCAACCATGGCTGCCTGTGATCATGGAGTAGCTGCAAAACTCAAAAGAGTAATCATGGAGAGAGATTCATATCCAAGAAAGTGGGGTTTGGGACCAAAAGCTTCGCAAAAAAAACGTATGGTAGCTGAAGGATTATTAGATAAATATGGAAAACCAAATGAAAAAACACCTTCTGAATGGTCACATAATTACCAAGATTACCAAAACCTAGCAACATCATCAACGACAATAGCATCAACAACGACAATAGCATCAACAACGGCATCAACAACGGCATCAACAACGGCATCAACAACGGCATCAACAACAGCATCAACAACGGCAAGTCGATTATTCTAATGCCTTCCAATATTTTATTAAACTAAACTTTCAATAGTTTTTATAAACGTATGTATATATATATATAGTATATGTATACATATATATAAAATATCAGCAATATTATATTTACAAGATATTTTTAACAAATGTAGATGGAAAAGAATGGCGACATAGTCATTGGTAAAAAGAGGAAGAGAGAAGACGTCATGAGTACAATGGACGAAGTGAAACAGGAAACGTCGGAAATTTTAGAAACATCATCGCCGAAAGATAAAAAGAAGAAGAAAGAAAAGAAAAAGAAGAAGGAGAAACATGACATTACGGGCGAAGAGTCCGTAGTAATGGAAGAAGTTACCAGTGGGGTAATTGGATTTTTGTCACAATTAGATATAATCTAAAAATTTGGACGTTATTACAAGATACTTATATGTGTGTATGTTATAGGAATCTTTGGCAAAGGAAGAGAAAAAGAAGAAGAAAAAGAAAAAGAAGGATAAGGATCAAGAACCTATGTCAAGTTAGATCGAGATATTTAAAAAAAAGAAAATTTTTAGATTAAACTGTTACATAAAAAAATGTACAGTTATTTTTTTATTGAATTATACATTATTATTCTGCTATATGTTAAGAGAGAATGTTCCAGTTTTATATATTATACATTATCTTTTTGACTTTACAAATGTTTGTATTCCGAAAATCTAAAGGAATACAAACTATCTGCGATTCTTTAATTTACATTTCCTAATGTTTCTCATATGTTATCTATCGCATCTTTTTCTCAAATGCAAATAAACTAGTATTCTAGCTTATATTCTGAGTTTCGGTAAATTAAGTTCAAAGAATTTATACTGTGTACATATATATCTTTTTATCAAGCGACAAGAATCATGTATAGAGTATATTTATGTAACTAATGCATTTTTGATGTTTTCTCTGCAATATGTGAGAGAGAGAATCTATATCTATCATTACATTATGAATATAATTAATGATATAGATTATACATTGTATTCATAGATGTCTCAGTATCAATAATATTATAATAGATCATAAATATCTTATTTTCTATAATTTCTTTTTATCATATTACTCATTCCATATCAGATATCAGCATTATTATATACCTCATCTTTTTTCCATTAAACATTCATGTATAAACATTCACATGTTATAATTTATAACAATGTTTAGTATCAATTTGATAATTATACCAAAATTTTATAAAGAAAACATTTTTTTTATAAAAACATGATAAAGATAGCGTCCATGTATTAATTCGTGTTTTTGCTTAATTGTGTCCACTTCGGGAAATGAAAAAAAACGTCATATTTCTATTTTAAAAAGATGTATATTTTCTTTAAATATCATATTGCAAGTGATGTATCGGAAAACAGTTATTTGAATACAACTGTATCGAGCATAGCTCCCAAACACTGAACAATATTTGTAGCCATTAATGTATCGACCTTCTCTTCCAGATGCCGTTTTGGATCTTGCTTGCCCACATTCTTTATCGCTAATTGTTCGGGTGTCATCTTTTCTTCCTCTTCCAAGGCCTATGAAAATAAAACTATATTATTATTATGATAAAAGATACTTAATATATCCAATAGGCATATACTATACAAATGTATAGATATGTAAAGCTTTTAAACTGCGCCTGCTGTGCAACGTTTCACCTTATTATAATTCTTCGCGAGTTCAAGCATCTCGGAAACGATATTCTCATTGAGTCGACTATGCTCTGAATATTCGGCAAGAGTAAGACCATCCATCCATGTTTTTTTATGAAGATTTAGTAGCATCTTTTGTTCCAGTTCGTTCTTGCGATAATTAATACTAATACTGTAATAATGCCGATTCAGTCCGTGTATCAACGCTTGAACAGACGGCTTCTGTAGATGACCTAAATTCGATGTCGTTTGTCTAGGTTCTTGTCCTAAAACCTGCAATCGGTACGACGGAGTCACAATTGGAGAACATATTCACTGCTTTCACACAAATCGACACAAGTCAACACATGCATCGTTTTATTCTTCTTGATATTCAGAGAGTGACAAAGATAGAACGACACTTGTGTCGATTGTGTCTCCTAAAACGAAAACAACCATTGTTGCCACAAGTGTACTTACCATCATGTTTGGATTTATTAGTCTAAATGCATCGATAACAACTTTTCCTTTCACTGATTGTATAGGATCAATGACAACAGCTACCGCTCTTTCACTAAGAGCCTCGAAGGACTGTTGAGTATTAATGTCCACTCCAGACAGCCAGCATCCAAATCCTGGATGGGAATGATACCAGCCAACCACCATTTCTGGCCGACCAGTCTGTTTTAGCATGTCCAACATCTTTGCTTGGAACACTGGATCTACCGCTTCTACACTAACACCCTAAGAGAGCATAAAAAAACAAATGACATATACAAAAGTACTTTATCAATTTTCTCGTTTATGTCTTAATATTTACCGTTCCTGTTTGCGGCATAGCGAAGACGTCGATAACGCGAACGGTATAATCGTCAACAAATTCACCCAACATCAAACCCATCACTTCCATCGGTACTCCGGCGCGGCCGTGCTTAAGCATTTTCAATAGAGCCAAGGACGATATATATACCTGTAATAATGCAAAAAAATAAAGCAACATGAAGGGAATAAAAAACACAAGGCTTTGAATAATAAATACCTGCTCAGCTGTGTCTACAACGGGTGCGTCAGAGGGTGGTGGCCCTTGATTTAGGCCTGGCATTCCACCGCCTAATCGCAACAGTCTGTCCATTCTGATGTGTTATTCAAATTCTTTACACTCTGCAAATATTCGAAACACATTGTATAATTGCAGCACAAAACCGTTGGAAATCCGGTATGTCATATGTTACATTATATGTACGTACAATCTAACATTTAGAGGTTAGGAAAAGAACGCTATGTGGATTTTCTGTTACCCTTTGACGATTTACAGTTCAAAAGTGACGAACGACTCTTATCAGATTAAGATATAAGTTGTTCTTACGATTACTCGTCTTCAGCAACAGAATTTCCTCGTTATTGTAACCGAACGAGCATTCCTTCTTCGGAGTCACTTGGTGTCACCGATGACAAGTCTCAAATGTGCACAATCACGAGCGCAGTCTGCTGGTTCCTCCAAGTGTCCACTGTCTAGTGTTGCAAGACGGCAGGACGAAAACAGAACTGTCAAATCGTATATTACATTTTATCGTATATTTTATATATTATATATACATTATATTATAATATATTATATATATTATACTATATATATTATATATATTATTCTATTATATATATTATACCATATTATATTACATACTGTTGAGAAACAATTGCGATAAACGATTTTTAAAAAATAAAATAAATATCTACAATAAAATATAAATTTTTTGTATATTTTTGTTTTATTTTTTTTAAATCGTTTATTGTTTCTCTTGGTCCTTTCGACTTACAAGAAACTCGCATGAAAATGCACGCTAATATTCTTTTCCCGCGACTTTTCCTAAGAAAAATCGACTCTTCTTTTTCTAGGCGTGTATCAATAAAATGATAAAAGATATAGAAAGTTAAACTTTATTTAAAATATTATTTTGTAACTTTTATCATAAAGGCTTCGAAAACATTTTATAAAGATGCAAGCGACGAATGAGTATATTTTTATTCAGATTTTAGGAGGGCAAGCTATACTTACTTTTTAGAAGACATGTATTTAATACACATATGTACAACACAGTCGCAAGTCTACTGCACACATATAAATATTTAATATGGCGGTGGAATGTTGCAAGTTATTCCGTTCGGCGGACATGGCAGTACACGGAACATTTTTCGTGACCACTTTCAATCTACACATTTAAGTCTCCTTATTCTTACTTCATGATTTGCATCTGCCGGCTGAATCTGTTCCGAAAGCTCCGACAGCATGAAGGAAGGGTACTCGGTGCTTCCGCAGAAATTTGGCGGGGGACCGAAGGGACTAGGTAAACTTTTCATTCCGATGCGTTTTTCGCGAATGGTAAACGCCGTGAAGTGGCAAACTTTGTCGCCAGTTGCGGAATGTCGAGGACTGTTGATGACAGGTTAGAGTTTTTAATCTCAACAGAGAGAGTTAAACGCAACCGGCGACGAGGTTTTTACACTCTTATTCGAAATCTGAAATCCGCTGACAATAAAAAATAAGTATTTCTTATTCAGCAATTCACATATTCGCTGGGGTCTTATGATCTCTCCTTCTTTTAGAGTGTCAGAATATTTCATGTTTATTTCAGGTGATCCTAGTGACAAAAGTTTAAGGAAGGTAGAGAAAAATGTGTTGGTACCCAAGTTGATGCGAGAGAGAATCAAATCCGAAAAGTGTGTCAACGAGGTCAAAGGTAATTATATATGAATTGGATAATTTATCTGGATAAATTACGTGATTCCCAAATAGCATTATTTGTTGTCATGACTGTAAGATTTTGTTTAAGACTTTTGAACCTAGAAGGAAGGATAGTCAAATGATATGAATTATTGGATTTGTTTTGTTATTTTAATTAATTATCAGCAGATGAATAAAAAAATCATCCATTTAATTTACTAATTTACTTTATTTTTCTTTTAAAGTTACAAATTGATTTTTCAAATTGGAAAAACTTAAATTTATAATATTAGCATCTTGGATTCTCAGAAAATCTTCCTAAAATATTCGCCTCCAATTCTTCTTTTCCAAAATTAATTTCTCGTAAATACGTATTAAGCACAGTCTGTTTAAACAGGTTTAATTATTTTTGTTCTTTAAGATTTAGTGGCTCCTTCTTGGCTATGTCCATTTTAGTTATCATTTTAACATCAAGTTGTCATTAAAATCATGATCAAAATGACGACAAATAACATCATTTTACTATTTGGCTTTGCGCCAGTGAGAGTCAAATGTGACAAACATCTTCTCTTTCTTAGAATTCCACGATTGCTGTCTCAATTCTGGTCTACTGAATGTCATAAAGTGTAGGAAAGAAAATGATAAGATGATAGCTTGCATGAAAGAGTGGTTCTTCAATCAAGACTTTATTAAAGAATGTACAGAGCAGTATCTGGAGGAAAGGAGTGAATTTAGAAGGACTGGTATTCCTAAAAAGCAAAGAAGCATTAGACTGGAGAGCTCATCAATGTGAACATATAGATAACGAATCAGCAATTGTACAAAGAGATTATCGATATTGTGTACATTTTTCACTTAGCTTTTTAGATATAGCATATGCGATTGATCTACCAACAATTCTACCTGCAGTAAAAAAAAATGAAAATGGATTATTGGAAGTTAAAATTATATTGATTTTGATTCTTGCATTGTTGAATTCACATTGTAGTTGAATGTCTACATGGTAAACTGTTTTAAATTGTTGCTTTCTATTGCTTCTACTTGTTGTGTGACATTGTAAAATAGTATTCTATATATGTGCCATTGTAGCATAAAATGATCAAAATATTCTCAAGGAGTACATGATAAACATCTAATAATGGTACTTTGTAGGAACAAAGATTTATAAATATATAATAAAAAAACAATATAGACATTTGACTACAGAACTGGCAGATGTTTTAAATAAAAACTTGTTTAAAAAATTGCAGTCAGAATTTAATTCCTATATTCTTGCAGATTTTAAACTGCTGACTCCGTTTAAATCGCCAACTTTTTGCATATTGTTCAAATTTTGTATTATGTGTTGTGTGTTATTACATACAATTTTTTGTAATGTCTGTTTTAATTTAATCGGCTTAATTATCAAGCAATATTTTCAATATTTTATTAACATAAATATAATTATCAATTTTTGTCGCAAAAAAAGAAGACACTAAGAGCGAATTGTACAGTTAAATAAACAATTCTGCCAATCGAAAATTGTTCACGTTTAAGAACGCAGTCTGTAGAATATTTCGCGATTGTATTTATTCACTTCATTGACGATTCAATTGGCAGAGTTGTTAATTTATTTAACTGTACAATTTGTTCTTATATTCTCTTCTTTCTCACGACAAAAAATGCTAATTCTATCCATCTGCATCGCGAGACCGAGAAGTCTAAAATAAGAAGCGCGAGAGCGCTTTATTTAAAGGAATTCCGTAATAGAGCTTATCACCGCCGCGGTCCACGTGGAGGCTGTAGATTCGTTTAAATTTGTTTTCTCGGGGAGGGAGCATCGGCCGCTGAACGTCTGGCGTACGTTTTTCGTCCGTACGATCAGCATGCAGGGGCGCGTCTCGTCGGTGTCGGTAGCGTCGTCGCGGCGCGTCCTCCCATAAACGAGCGCGGAAGGTGGGGGTGTGTGTTGCTTTACGATCTCTCTTGCTGATGTGGAAGTCACGCGAGCTGTGGCGAGAGAGATCTCATTTCAACTCGTCTGTCGTTTCTTCATTCCGACGTAAGAAAGACGTCTCGTAAATTCACCGAGTCTTTCGGTCAACGATCTCTCCCCCTTTTCTCTCTCCGTTGCATCTTTTCTTTTTTTTTCCTTCGTCCCGATGCACGATCTCCGTAGAATGCGAGCGCTCATGTTCCTTCAAATCCTAATCGGTTTCTCCATCCTGGCGACGGCGATCCCGAAGCAGGTGATCCCGGACGGCGAGCATCGCATTTTAAACAAGGTTAGAGAAATTGTGAATTGTCTCTGATAATTGTTCTCGTATTCTATAAGTGATCAAACAAAAGTCAGTCCTGACATTTAAAACATTTTTTTTGTATGATAGAAAAGTGAAGTTCCATTGGTAGGTAATGTGACATTTGCATTGCTTTTTTTGCAAAACATCACCGGATGATGCCTCTTCAACTTGTCCCTTCAGGACGTTGTATTATAAAGGTGTAGCACATAGATATTTTAAAACACACACACAACACAGATACTAAATTATTTTTCTAATTTTCTTCACAAAATTGAATAAAGTCTTAATTGCATTCCATCTTTCTTTTTTAATTCACAAAAATATATTATCTTTATTTAAAATTTCTTCTTGTATTACTTTTATTATAGTTGTAAGGAATAAAAAAAGAAATGATTCAAAAACTTACAAAGTGCATTATATTCTAGGATGCAGGGAGTAATGATCACTATGTTCATTCCCAACACAATCCGGCCTATGATCATGAAGCTTTCCTTGGAGAAGAAGCCAAAACGTTTGATCAGCTGACTCCTGAGGAAAGTACAAGGCGATTGGGGATAATTGTTGATAAAATAGACAAGGATAGCGATGGCTATGTGACGCAAGAGGAACTTAAAGATTGGATAATGTATACGCAGCAACGTTACATCAAGGATGACGTGGAGCGTCAGTGGGGATCCCACAATCCGATGGGAAAGGAGAAATTGTCTTGGACGGAATACAAAGATATGGTTTATGGCGATATGGAGGAACAAGAGGCGGAAAAGCGGGAGAGCGACAAAGCGGACGAGTCGTTCTCGTATGTTCAAATGTACAAAAGGGACCGCAGGAGATGGATCACTGCAGATATGGATGGTGATGATGCTCTGACCAAAGAAGAATTCACTGCCTTCCTTCATGCAGAAGATGCTGAGCACATGAAGGACGTGATAGTGTTGGAAACGATGGAGGATATTGATAAGGATCAAGATGGAAAGATATCCCTTGCGGAATATATTGGTAAGGGGGAATTATCATTGCTCCGATGAAAATTTTTCCTACAATTTTTTATATCAATTAGAACATTTTTCAGAAATACTGAAAAAGTCTATATCTTTTTTTAGTTTTCAATATATGTAAATTTTGTAATATTCCAAGATTTCTCATTCTACAATTTCTAATACTTTAAACTTTTTTAGATTTATAAGATTTCATCAGAAATTATAGAATAAGAAAGATACGTAGACTTTTAACAATTTTCACTAGTAATCGGCTATTCGAGCTAGGTATCTTTTGCTAATAATACAAACAAAATCAATAACTATAATCAAACGTATAATTATTGAATTTTTAATTTATCTGCAGGTGATATGTACAGAGGCGAGGAAGGTGAAGAGGAACCAGAATGGGTAAAGAACGAAAAAGAACAATTCTCCTTGTATAGAGACAAAAATGGGGATGGATTCTTGAATGCTGACGAGGTAATTAATCATTCTTTACATCATATAGTTGTTGAATAAAAATGTATACTGAAAATATTGAAGATTACATTTTTGAATTAATCCAATAAAACTGATTTTGATAAAGTCCGAATTCCAATCCAAAACAGGTAAAAACGTGGATTATTCCTGCGGAATTTGATCATGCTGAGGCGGAGTCAAGGCACTTGATCTACGAAGCGGACACAGATGCGGATCACAAGCTGACGAAAAGCGAGATTTTAGAGAAATACGACATCTTTGTCGGATCACAGGCAACGGACTTCGGCGAGGCATTAGCCAGACACGATGAATTTTAATGAGACGTAATCTCATAAGAAAGAAATCACTAACGAACAAATTACTGATAATACTTAAATCTACTTAAGATATAGTTTATCTAAGAAGAAGAATACCTATTTACTGTAATAAATAGATGTTTTTATATATTGTGGTATTTACATAATTGCTATCGTAGAGAGATACATGAAATATGTTATATCTGCCAAAAATTGTAAATCTCGATTAGCTGTTGTTATAATAAATTTTTTATATTGTATTAACTCTTCATTGTTTTCTCCGAATACTTTGAGAAGCATTAATTCTTCTTAGTCTCGTCAATATAGTACATAATTAGACAAGAGTCAATTCTGATTAAATCCATTCGAAGCGAAATGTACAGAATATTAACAGCCAAAACAGAAGAAACTTACAAAGCGCAAATAATTCACAAAAAGCAAAGTTTAACAAAACATTTTTTAAATCAATACGATTAATTATTTTCTTTTATCATTCATTTTTACGTCCCTTATGCTATCATACTGTACATTAATAACGATTGTCATATCTAGGACACTGACATGGCATTGTATGATTAGGATCGATTTTATCAGATAAGTCTCCAATGTCCCAGCAATGTGAGTAATATCTGCGATATCGTTGCATGAGTTAACTCTTAAATATGTAAAAATGAAAGAGGTATATTTGGTTGTGCTTTTAACGATTTGCACATACATATTAGGTAAGTATATTTATTTCTCTTTACAACATTATACGCCTCGATAATGTCTTATAAATGTCGCACGCTAAGAATACCAAATAACAGCGCGTAGTTTTTCAGGCCATTAATGTTAGCAATATACTTTCATTTAAGTTGGAGTAACTGATCAAAAATATTTAAATCGCCACTAGTTTTTGTTCAATATTCAGCCGGTATAAGAATAGATCGCAAAAAACACTTATTCGCGTACATACTATACATGCACATGTAGACCATTAAAACAATTTGCATTGTATAAGTGTGTGTGTGTGTGTGTGTGTGTGTGTATATATATATAATTACGTACACATAGACATGTAAATTATATGTATAAAAATACGGGGGATAGATTTGACTTAGTCTGTATCACATTATGAATGAGAGAGAGATGATTCTTCGAGCTAGAATACATATATGAAGAAATCATAAGGCTTAATATATATATATATATAAAGAAATGATGCAAAGCTACTTGATAGTCTCTGATTTAATTTACATACGGTTGGTTTCATTCGATGCTTCACAGTTTATCAGCTGCTTTTAATATACATCTTCTTAGAGTTATCTTATTTTTGTATATAGCGACAGATATCAAAGGACCACATTGCTTTCATTTCACATGGCCAGGCCCTTCCCATGCAGAAGTCAACAAGTTAGACTGTGAGGAACATAATGAAAAAAATCCATTTACTCCTTGTATAGAGCCATTGTTTTTTCGTAAGTGTATAATGTTCGTAATCATTTTCAGTAATAACTTTAACTATTAAACGATATTTGATCATATTTTCAGATGATACAAAACCAAATGTAACTAAACTATGGGAGAATATAAATAAAAATAATAATACAAAATACATACAACGAATGCAACCTGGTTACGTTTGCGTAAGCTATACATTTATGTACAATGGCGCAGGTAAATTATATACTTCGTAATGACAAAATAGAATTGACTCAGATTTTATGGTCGGAACGTTTATGTAAATATAAATATAAACGTAAATTTATTTGCAGTTATGAACATCAGTTATTTCCATGGAAAAGTTACAGAAGACCAGGTTACACCGATCATATCAAACTGTTACCTCAAACACGTATGTATAATAAACGCTTCGTAATTAACTTCGTTTTTCTTTACGATTCAGTATGAGCATTTGATGACAAAGTACGATACTATAATCATACTTTTTTAAATATACTTTTAGACTGAAGGATATACTATCGAAGTATGTGCCTGTAAATCTAAACATGGCGATTTTATGCCCTGCAACTCAACAATAAGAAATAGATATTCAACACTAATTATTTTTGCAGTTATAGCCGTTTCGCTGTTTATGTATAAAATTTTCGATATTCCCTGACATTTCCGGCTTACTTTATTTCTTTGATATGAATGAAATTGTACAAATTATATTATTATATTTAATATTTATTACAATTTATGTGCAACATTATCAATCAAGCGTATATCTTTTTACAATTTTGTAGAACGCGCATGTATATTTAAATTATATACAGAGACAAATAAATCATGTATCACATAATATATAATGTAATTGAAAAAATAAATATTCATGTATATGGAATTACGAGGAGAAAGATAAACTCTGAAATAACAATAACATATATAACAAAATTGACTAAGAATAATTCAATTAAAATATAATACGTTTCTTCAGAAGAGAAATATTTCATCGTTTCACATATTCAAAGAATACTTGGGCCTTAATATATATTATTACGTATGGAAGTATTACAAATTAGATTTTTCGTACATCATCTTACATTTCAAAGAAATATTATAACAAAGGATACGATAAAGTTATGTATGGCATTTCTAACTGTGTAAAAAATTAGGACTTATTCGCACATTTGAAGCAACGAATTAATTGTAACGTCTTTCTTGCCGTGATTGGCATCATATACCGATTTGATAACTTCCCTGTCAACATTCGGAAACATTTCTGCGATCTGTAAAGTATAGGCGTTACAATTATATGTATATAAAAAGACAACGAACGAAGTTAAAGTATAGACGAAACATATACTAAGTACCTGTTTCAACTCGACCTCAGCATTTGGCAAAGAACTTGGTGCAACTGTTGGTGTAACAATAGGCGGAGGTGCTGCATAAACATTGACCGGGGCACCATACGGCATGCCGAACATGGTTGCAGAAGGAACCATCATTACCGAAGAACCCATGTATGGATGATTGGTCTATTACAAATATGTTCACATGAAACAAAAAGATGAAACTTAAAATACTCGAAAACAATATTAAAAGTTGTGCTCAATTGCATTTTAAATTTTAGTGGCTCTATTTACTTCATAATCGTTTGCTTGATATTATAAATATTGTATAACTTAGTGATAAATGACACACACACACGCACACGCACACGCACACGCACACGCACACGCACACACACACACACACACACACACACACACACACACACACACACACACAACATACTAAAAAATAGTATAATCATTATTTTTACCGTGTAACTAAAAACTAAATTGATCATGCCCTCCTGATTATCTCCCTGCTTCCCACTGAGCATGTACCAATCTTCGTGTGTTTCTCCCTTCTGAATGACCTGTGGTGGAATCTCTATATGGCCCCACGCAATCAGTTCATCCATCACGAAGGAACATTCATCGTAGATTTCTATATATATCTGGTTAACTCCAGGTGGAAGATTACTGTAATAAAATAAATGTTGTAATGTATATAACACATCTACATATGTATATAAACAAAGTATGCTTTCTCACCAATGGATTACTTTGTTCCAATGTGGATTTTTTCCTCCATTTGAGTCTGTATGTGTCTCAAAGACCGAATGTCCCACTCGTATCCTCGCATAAGGATCCATCCTTGTCATTCCATAATTTTTCACTAATTTGGCCTGGAAAAAGCAGTTTTTTACAGTGCGAGATGGTACAAATTGTTAAGTTGTTGGCTCAATTTATATAAACAATACTGGAAATGTCAATTGTATAAGAATACCTGAGAATTACCTGAGAAATTGTTATGCTAAGTCTACCAATTCGTGGATCATGAGCCACTGACATATTCCGCATCTGTTGATGCAGGGCTAGAGCAGCTTGCTGATCTGCTGCCTCCTGCTGCAACTGTGCATTACGTTCTTCTATTCTCAAGAAACTGTCTGGCAGTGGTCCCACAAAAGCCTAAATATATTAGATTAGGATTCAGTAATTAGTTTTTACATTTTTTGCATTTAGAATCTTTCTTTTCTCTTTTCAACGTCTGAATATATATCTAGTTTTAAATGCAAACATTTTTGGAAATTTCAAGCAATATGAATATACCTATTGTTATACATTTTAAATGAAATTCATACAAGAGAAAGGTTTCTGCTAGGCTGACTCATAACAAAAATTACTAATGTAAATTAGATGCTGAAGCATCAACATATCGAAATATATTCTGCATTTACTGCGTAGAAAAATGAAATGCATATTCATTTTGTTTGCCCAGATATTCAAGAATGTAAGCAGTATTGTGAAATACTCGTAAGGCTTCCTCAATTATCTCCGTCTAACGAGTGACACAGCCTGTGGCATACATACCCGTTTTTTCCACTCTTCATGTTGAGGCCCATCCGTGTCCATGGTGGAAGAAATTTAAAAAAAAAAGGATACTATTCCCTAGAGGAAAGGATATCTCGATTGCGATCGACGTTCCGCATGCAGTTAAAATGCTCCCAAAGTCTGTGCTTTGAAACTTGTCAAATACGTCAAATCACGCAAACATGCATTGCACCGACTGTTCGCGATTTGCGACTGTTTACCGATCGACTGCTGATGCGCACGGAACGAGACCGAGCGAGGTGCGATTGGTCATTGCTCGCGAGCGTCACAATTTTTATCTGAAAAATTCTTGCATCGTTTATCTTTCTTCTTTTTCTCTCGAACGTGAAGAGAAAAGGAGGAAAGATAAACTGTGCAAGAGGTCTGTTCTTTTTAGCTAAAGTTCTTGCACGGTTTATGTTTCTTCCTTTTCTCTCTACGTTGGAGAAGAAAAAGAGAAAAGATAAACCGTGCAACAAGTTCAGTTAAAAAGAACAGTCCTATGAAGTTCAATAGAAAAGAACAGACCAACGCTACTATACCACCTGCGCTATATAGTAAATCAGCCAATCAAATTCTTTTTCAGAATGTGGCGCAAAATATGTAATATATAAATAAATTAGTATATATTTTAACAGACACAATTCTCCCTATCCTATCTAGTTAGGTCTCCTTAGTCTTACTTCATGTTAAATCGTAGTCTATGCTAGTGATTTACACTTAATGGTCTGCAGTCCATTTGACGCTACAAACGCTTCGAAACGTTTGAGCGACCAATCAGAACAAAAAATTTTACGAATTGACTAATCAAAGAATGCTTCGGGTGCGTTCCGTTTCTTGCATGATGCGCATAGAAGCAATGGCTGCGTTCAGCAGACTCAACAGTTTTGCAACCGTTTTATGATTGTCTGCTGAGATAGGACCATTCTTCTAGATCTAAAAATATGATCCAATTAGCGCGAAGGAAACTTCCAACAGTTGCAAAACAAACGTTCTGCTGAACGCACCCAATGTCACTCTACACTTGTAATGGCTTGCTTTTCAGCAAGGATACAATGGCTGCGTTCAGCAGACTCAACAGTTTTGCAACCGTTTTATGATTGTCTGCTGAGATAGGACCATTCTTCTAGATCTAAAAGTATGATCCAATTAGCGCAAGGAAACTTCCAACAGTTGCAAAACAAACGTTCTGCTGAACGCAACCAATGGGCGAGTTCAAGACGGCAAAGCGGTTAGGCGTGCTTATCGAGCGATTGAATATGATTGGTTGGATCTATAAGTAACAACCAATTATGTTCATTTGCTTGGCGAGCAGGTTAGCCGCTTTGTCAACTTGAACGCGCCCAATGTCAATCACTCATTTGAATGAAGTTTCAAGTCTAATATAATTATCTTTGTTTCACCCCGATAGTTTAATGATTATTTTTCCAAAATTTCTTGCAAGTCCGTGATTAAAAGAATAAGAATTAAGGAAATCGATACATCATATAAGAATTTACAATATATTTCAATATTTTTCAATTGATAAGATTTTCAGAACAAAATATATTTTAATTATTGATATAATTATTTTTCACACAAGTAAATAAAATAGCTTCGAAGTAATAGACGAAATACATTGCAATGTCAAAAGCGAAGATCTGACATTTTAATAAAATTATAAGGAATAATAAGCTGGCCATCTCTATATTTTGTTATATATTTTTTATATATAGTACATATATTTAATAATATACATATATTTATTATATATAGCGAATATATGTATGTTATACATTTACATATTTATATACTTATACATTTACGTGCATAAATGTTAAAATATAAAATAAAGGTAGGATTTGCAGTCTGTATTCATATGCTATATTTAATACTAAAGGAAATTTTTCATTTTTTTAAATTAGAAATTATTAAATACGATATTATAACAATATTATATTATATTACAATGATATAAATAAATGCATAGGATAAGATGATACAATTTCGAACAAAATAAGATTTGAATATAATTTTCGAGTTTGGTAATGTGATTTCTTATAGCGGAGAAAATATTTTATAGCAGTTTCTTGGATTGCCTACAAAGATATAGAGCATGGACTGTGCCATTAGTATCTAAACAGTATATAAAATGTGGTCCATATCTCTTAAATCACTTCTAGCCTCAATTTAAAATTTTTTTGTCATGGATGTTTCATCAAAAGGTATCATTTGATACACAATTCAAAATCGCGGGACCAAAAACAGGCGAAAGAAATACTGATTTTGCTGTCACGCTTTGACAGAAAAATTTTACATTTATGCCGGTTTCCATCAATGTAGATTAACTTTAATCTCGATCCAATTTACTCTTCATTTTTTTCTAATCTTTAAGACAAGAAAAAGATGAAGAGTAAGTTGAACTAAGATTAAAATTAATCTATATTGGTGAAAAATGGGCATTAGAGTTAAATGAGATGAATACAGGTCGCTATTGTCTTTCAATTTCTCATATCATAGGAACATACATAGATATTTGCACAAATACAGTTCGTTTGTTATAAAGATCTCTTCCAGTGAATTAGTTCAATTAATTTCACTTTTCTATCCGTAACTGTCGTACATCTAGATAGCCAAATGCCTCTGAGATTGCCTATGAAATCGACATCAGATTACAGCAAACTGACGGCAACTTGTTGACATTGGTATATTTCCTCATCATCAGTCGTTGTCATGTTGCCATCACATTGCTAGTAACATTCCATACTAATATTTCTGACTACTTGCTTTCAAAATTCCATCAACTAAATACTTGTATAATCATTCATGTTGCTCAGTACGATAGATACTTAATACGATGACGGTAAACAAACAACTATTCAACATTCATGCAGTGCATTAGTTTGCTCGATATGATTAATCACGCTTGATTGGTTATCTGGGCGCTTTGCATCACTTTAATTATTCTGAGCCTGTGGCTTTGACCATTCCACGCTCAGGATTAGATGATCGTAACCGTAACCATCCAGAGTGGCGATTGCTCTCGCTGCATCGGTTCTGTGCTTGAAATGTACATACGCAAAACCCTTACAGAGATTGGAAAGTTTCTCTTTGGCGAGAAACTGCTTTACTACGGAACCGAATGGTTTCACAAGCTCATCCAGATCTGCATCAGTGGTGCTTTGTGAAAGATTGGAAATACGTATGGCGGTCGTATCGTCGCGTCTCTGCATCTGCATCGAGTCGCCGCGTTTGTTGCCGCCGTCGCGCATACCAGGTGGTACGTACTTGCCACCCTGTGGCTTAAGTTCAGCCATTGCACCAGGTACTCCAGTATTAACGAGAGGTTTCTTGTCGTCTGGTACTTTTCCTAAAATATAGAATTTTAGCAATTATAATTTTACAAAAATAATGTATATTTGATATATTTATTTATACAACTGAAATTTAAATTATTTATATAATTAACAAATAAATGAAATTTTTATTTATATTTTAATAATCTCATAGATTGATCGTCAGTATTAATAATAATGCTAATAAGCATCTTAAAAACCCATAAGTAATTCACTGTGAAAAATATTACTTCAGCCAGAGTTTAAACTAATATTTTTCATGTAAGATATAATTGAATTTTATTTCGTATTTGTATCAATTGACTTCTGACAATAAACCTACCACCAGCAAGAACAGTGTCTTTGTATGGACACTTGGACGTCCAGTGATCGCCATTACAGTTACGGCACTTGACGACTCCCTTGTCACCCATGCTTTTCAATTTGTCCAGCGAATCTTCCTCCACTTTGTTCTCTTCCTCTTTGCTGGATATAAATTGCATAAAGACATCCTCACCACCGACCGTGGTAGCTGGATCAGGTCCCGGCCTGTCGTCAGCAGAATCGCCGAACTTTGTCCAATTTTTACGTGCCGCAATTGTTTTCGACACTATACGTCGTTCTATCTTATAAGAACGGACAACCTTGACTTTTTTATTATCTTGATTGTACTTGTACTCGGTGAAAATTTTGAAACCATTCTCATAGACTTCTGAAGGCGGAGGTAATGCTCCTCCCTCTTCTTCAACTTCATCAGCCCAGCTAGACTTGACTTCATTTTGTGCAACTGGCATTTCTGCAAGTTGTATAACAATATTATGGAACATTTAAATATGTACAAATACTAGTTTAAAGTATATGAAAGTATATAAACAATATGTATAAACATTAAGTTTCATAACATTCAAACAATTATTTTTATTCATAAAAATACTACACTTAAATATATTTTATTCTGTTTATTTATTTGGAGAATTATGAAGTTTAAAATCCCTACTTTAAATATTTATAATTTCTAATTGTACTTGTCTAATTCAGAATAGAATTCTTATAATTTTATGTAATATAAAAAATTTGAAAAATTAAAATACACATAACTATAAAATATACAAAATATAAATTTTATATATATGTGAATGTGTAATGTATATTTTGTAGTTATATGTATTTTAATTTTTCAAAATAAAATCAAGTACAACATATGAAATTATAAATAGAATTGTCAAATCTGATAGTGAGTTATAAATTGTTTTAAAAAGTAGAATAGATCTCAAGAATAAATATTCAAGTTTGAAATCAACCTTTTAATTTTGAAAGATCAATTCTTTTTTGTACAGACACGGGAAAAAATGTTATATAAATAGACATATTTTATATATAATTATATATAATTGTATATGAAAAATATGTTAATTTTTTATATAATTTTATATAATTATATATCTAACATTTTTTCCCAGGGAATCGAACATCCTTATTCTTCGCAAGTCTATTAAAATTACAATTTAATAGATCGATTAAAAAACTCAAAACAAAATTCTCTGAATTTAACAATTTAGAAAATTCGTACAATTAATAAGAGTATTTTTATTATTAAACTATTAATATTTATATGACAAAACAATTGCAATCAAAGCTGTTCATGTTATAAAACATCTGTTTTCTGTAATCTAAAATATATATACTTTTGAATCTTAAAAAGTGAGATAGATATATGTTTGACATTTGACAAGAAAAAAAATTTTAGTACAGTATACAAATAGTATAGAAATAAAAGAAACCTAAAATGTAAATCTAACCTATGCTACATTTCATTGGCGATTAAAGATTCCGAAAAATTGTACATTCATTTTATTTATTTGCCACCAATTTTCCCTGAACGAGTCCGTATAAAATCATCAAAAAGAGTTAAAACAAAAGAAACACACGTTGCTATAATTAACACAACCAATTGCATACAAACTCGATGTGTTTGAAAAATACAAAGATAAAGAGAATGCCGTGTTAAAAGAAGCAAAACTCGTTTGTTGGACGTCTTACCGTAGAAATTCGACAGCTGGCAGTAGACAGACGATCAGATCGGAGCACAGATCACAATGAAACGTACTTTGCAACAATTTACAAGACTAGATATACACGTGGAAATCTGGAAAATCAAAATCAATCAAAATGAAGGAATCCGCCATGAAATGTGTTCCAGTTCCACTTGACACTCTCGAAGCTCATGGAATCATTTCATCCTTATTGTTTATCAAATGTTAAACAAGGACAAATAATGCTCGCGAGTGTCCACGTTTTTGTAGTTCTTTTCCGTACTGTTACATATTAGACAAAGACGAATAATCAACTTTAATTGTTTATCCTTGTCTAACTCACGTAATAATACGGAAAAGAACCACAAAAACATGGACGTTACCCTACGAGGTTTGGTACCCGAAAAAGGTCGGGATGTTCACTCTCAGGTTTCTCTTTGGTTCTAACACCGACGAGATATTATTAAAGACCGACATCCTTATGGGAGTTCGCGTCCTTGTTAATATTGAAGTGATTATGGCTCGTTTTCATAATATATGGTTACCTAAGTGTTTTCACAATATATGGTTACCTAAAGATTAAAGATTACCAACAGATTCATCAATGAAATTCATTCATGAATTTCTTGGTTACCTTTAATCTTTAGGTAACCATATATTGTGAAATCGGGCCTAAGAGTAAAAAAAAACTGATAATATTGTACTAATTTTATGATTTATTAGTTTAGTAGACGTGTTTATCGATGTACGTGCATTTAAAACTCAATAATACTCGATTTTTCTTTAAAATTGTGATTTCAGTATTATCGTCAAAGTTCGATTATCAACAGAGATAATAACTGCAGAGAAAAAAATTGTAATTTTTCGGCAATATATAGGATATTATAGCTTTACAAATATGCATATTTATTTATAGAACATTTATGTAGTAAAATATCATGAATTTAATAATGTATTAGTCAAATGTTTATGTTAATAATAGCAAATTTATATCAATTGTCGATAATGTCAGCGTTCTTCGATTACCTCCGGGCCCTTGGGGCCCTTTTTATACCGCCGAAAATTTGCCCAGGGTTGACGGTCTTTAATAGTATCTCGTCGGTGGTTCTAAGCATGGAATTCTTTTTTTTCCTTCTCCAATTATTCCATCGTCACGTCCTAAACCCATCTTGTTACTTCGTACGTTTGTGACTAAATACCTAATTACAAGTATCGTCGATAATGCAGTGTTCTGTACTCCGTTACGTTTGTTTACGTCGATTAAGTTCATGTCATTTTTCTTGTCATCGTCGTGATAGAGTTGCAAAAAATAGAATTTCGTTCGTATAAACGGTGAACAATAGCTCTGCTCGACTTGCTTACACTTTTTTACACTTTTTATACTTAAAATGAGATAGATATATATTTGGCGCTGAAAAGAAAGAAAGCGAAGATGCTGAATGTAAAGAGTGTAAGCAAGTCGAACAGACCAAATGTTTCGACGGGCTCATGACATGATACGCGTGTCAAATCGCTATGAATAAAACGTCAAATGTGCAGATACGTACGTACTTTCGGCTGACGTAATTTTTAGTTTAAATTAAAAAATGGCCCATGTCAATCAAGGCCAAGGAATCGGGGAGGCTGTGGACTTTTTGACGAAGTTTCATAATATTTCGAATAAACTGAAAAAGTAAATCCTTAAAACACTTTTTGCAATTGAAAGTTCTATCAATCACGGTTTTCTGTCTAACGTTATGATCTTTTAGACGATTTCTGAGGAAGCCGAACGTTGCAGAGGCATGCGATCAATTTAGTAAGTGTTAAATTTAATATAGCAATTAAATAAAAAATTATAAACATGCCTCTCTTAGAAGTCTGACTGACCAATTTTATTTTGACGTTTTTTTTTATTTTAATATTAGAATATATGATTATTTACTTGTTTTTTTTTCTACTTTTCATTTTATGGAATTGATAAGTTAGTTTGACTTTTGAAAGGTTCATACAATTATATGTAATCTATAAAATAATTTAATTCTTGACTATTAAGAAAAGAAAAATATTAAATAAAATGCTTGATTTTTTTAGGTGCCTTAGCTACTGAATGTGAACAGAAGGAATTGTGGCAATATGCAGGCTTGTGTTGGTTGGCAGCTGCTAGATGCCAAGGTACATTGGAAAATACCTCCTCGGAAATAAATCTTTTAGTAAAAGCGGGAAGGCAATTCCTTACAGCCGAGAAAAAAGATAACGATATAGGATGTCCCTCCATAGGCCAAGAGAACATACAGGTTTCTTGTGCAACATGAATTTGCAATAAAAAGGAAATAAAAGGAAAGGACTAAATATAATTCACATACGTTTCAGGCAGCTGTGAGTTGCTTTGGTCATTCTATGGCTAGATGCAGCAATCAACCAGGATTCAATACAATTTCTGCTGGTTTATCAGTAGAATTAGCATTAGCGTTGGGTCCAGGTCCTGCTGGTATCCAACAGTTACGTAAAGCAATTGATATCTTTCCTACATCAAAAGCTATCAATACCTTAGTGTCTTTTCATATAAGACAGGGTCAGTATTTGATCCATTTTTATCTGTAATCTTATAAATAATTTCATGAATAATTAATATTTTATGATGATTCAACACAAATAGTATTTTATATAATTTTATTCTCACAGGAGATTATGTAGCTGCGCTACAGATACTCAATGAATTTGTAGAATTTGTAGAAGCTTGTGTTGTGGCTGGTGCTAGAGGAAACTATAATGCTATCCTACATAGGTATTATTTTATCATGAAGATATTGTAATAATATATAAATTGGGTGCTCATTTTTCATGTAGTGTTTAAGGCGAATCCTGATTTATTTTAAAATGTCAATTGCATATCAGCTGTGGAAAAAATTAATATTTTAAAAAAATCTACAGAGATGAGCGAATTAAACAAAGACAATCAGTTGTCAATTTATAAATAGAAAATTCTAAAAAAAGCGTGCTTTATTCTGTGATTAGTTTTATAATTATAATCGTTCGTAACATTTATTACTGTGTATTAAATTACAATATTATATTATACTTAATAAGTTAAAAATACGTATAATAAAATTAATAACTAGGTGCGAAGTGACGCGAGTACTTCTACTGCTCATTCTTCAGCCGTCACCCCAGAGATTGACACCATCGCTTGCCCAGGTTCTCGAAAAGTATGCTTGGGCGGAAGAAAATGTAAACAATGGTACATATCAGGCTTCCAATTGTATAGAAATATTTTGATTTTTCCGTCACCATTCAAAGTTATTAGATCAATTGTTTTTTTTACAGGTCTTAATATGAGCGAGGATGAATTATTATTGCTACAATCCTTGGTATTAGCGTGTCAGTCTCATGATCATCAAGCAGTGTTGGAACTCGAGAGCGAATTATATCCTTACTTTGATACAGAGCAAAAGGAACTGTTGCATAAATTGATACAAGTAGTATCGACGCAGTAAATATACAATAATGCTACGAATTATGCGCAAAATATTTTTCTCCTGATTATCATTTTTCGCAACTTTATGTCGCGTCGTGTGGTTCACGAAATTCAGGGCACATTCCTCGAGGGACGAGTAAGGAATGCCCTTCGGCCAGTTGTTTTTCTCTCATTTCGCGCGATTACGTTATTAGTCGCCTCGAAACAAGTTCCTATGTCTAACGGCTAAACTGTTTCTCAATCGAGGTGCCAAAGATAAGCAACATATTTTTATTAATTCAGTAACGATTGTATTGTAAGCGGTGAATGCAATCGATGAAAGACAGTAGCGAGTTTGTCCCGCTTCTTGTGATCCCAATTGTGGTAGCAAGAGTGCGACATGAGATGTGAAAGGAGGAGGAGGAACTCTTTAGATGAGGATCGTAGAACGGGCGGCTGGAGTAGAACAAGACAAGGCTTGCAGGAAGGGCATAGTGTGCGTGCCGATATGGCATTGTGAAGGAGGGGATGTCTCGCGCGTCCCACGATATACTACCTTCGCTCTTCTGCAGTTACTATTCAAGGCAGAGTCGTAGTTAGTGTCAGTTATCGCGCGAAAGTGCCTCGCAGTCCTTCGGATCGAAATTGATTGCGTCCTTCATTGAATTATCTAGCACTTAGTCTTAATCTGAGGTAACGATCTCTTCATTCCTTTATACGATATTAAATCGTGTAACAAAAGCGAATTACATATATCGTAATTAAAAATTCTCTGAGGTGATAAAGAATTCCAAGACCATTAGCTAAGTTGGCTTCATTCTAATTTTAAACTAGAAAAACAGGAAATCTCTTCGAGCGAGAACAATCTCTCGTAATCTAATGAGAAAAATCGGCTCAAGGACGCCGATTAATTTCTCTGAAAGGCCAAGGTTCGTAGAGACTCTTAAGTATTCAACTCGCGTTGCAAATACACGTTCTAATCGGTGATTAATGAGGCATGAGTAAATTAAGATAGTCTTGGCTTATTTACGATCAATTTCCCTTAAAAAACTCTACCTATAAATTCATTTAAATAGTAGGTCTTACAATCTATAAAGAAATGCTTTTTACACAAATATCTGTTTGGGAATAGGTATTAGAAATACACTTCTATAGACCGAATAAGTGTCGAGTAACAGTGCGATTTCGAATACCGTTAAGTATGACTTCACGCGAGTTAGGCTGCGAGCTTAATGAATTGGAAAAATTCTTGAACACATCACGAATGTATTCATAAATGAATTTATATACTCGTGATCATGTACATTTTATATATAATCATGTTTCGATTTTAGATATATAATTGTTCGAAATGTTTAAAGCTTAAATATTTAAAAATTCTTAACTTCTAAATTAAATTTTAATTTTAAATTAATTTATATTAATTTTTTTTATTATTACATCAATTTTATATAAACATTTTTTTATACTTACCTTATATGTGCGTTCCTTCTTTTTTAACTTCGTCGAAGTGCGAGTATACCGCATTCCCGCTGCAGTGATTTACCACGTGTTTCGACAACCTTGAACTCTGTTTGCTCACTTGAACGAAGGTGAATGCCCTAAGCACCTGCACTCTTCAGCTTGCAAACGTACGTCCCTACGAATAAAAGTTTGATCCGCATGCATCTAGAGTTTAAATTGAATTTGTCTCAACAGATTCGGATTAATAAACGAGTAAGCAAGCACAGATATTGCGACTCAATAATTAGTTGTACAAATGTT